TAGTTTCCATGCTAGTATTGGGATGGCGTCGTGTGAAGCTTTGTATGGAAGAATGTGTAGAGCTCAATTGTGTTGGTGTGTGTCAGGCGAGAGTGTTGTACTCGGACCTGAGACTGTGCAGGAGACGATTGAGAAGATTAAGATGATCCAAGAAAGGATGAGAGCTTAGCAGAGTCATCAAAAGAGTTATCATGATAGGAGAAGGAATACACTTGAATTTCAAGAGGGATACCATGTGTTTTTGAGAATTACTCTGGTGACTGGTGTGGGTTGAGCTTTGAAGTATAGGAAGCTCATTCCATGTTTTGTTGGCCCGTATCAGATTACGCAGAGGATATTGGAGGTAGCCTATCGGATTTCTTTACAGTCGTCGCTTGCGAATTTGCATGATGTGTTTCATGTGTCTCAGTTGAGGAAATACGTTTCAGATCTGTCGCATGTGATCCAGATGGATGACGTATAGGTGAGGGATAACCTGACTGTTGAAGCACTACCTGTGCGGATTGATGGACGAGAAATAAAACAGTTGCGGGGTAAAGACATAACTTTGATGAAGGTGTTATGGGGTGGACCAGCTGGTGAAAGTTGGACTTGGGAACTTGAAGATCAGATGAGGGAGTCGTATCCGACTCTGTTTCCTTCAGGTAATTTTTTAGGATGAAAATTCTTTAAGTGGGAAAGAGTTGTAACATCCCAAAATAATTAGTATATTTATTTAATTTATTTATTATAAATATTCGTGATTTCAGTGAATTTGGTGAAATGTTTTGAAGTCTGATGATTTGTGTTGGGAGGTATTGTTGATGTTAAGAGGGTGTTTTCAAGTCATTTTCATTTTCAAAACCATGTGTTTTGATTCTCGCTCACAAGTACATTGTTACTCTTTTCAAATATCATCTTTCGTTTTCAATAGTAAGATGTTATTCAAAGTTTTAAATGTACACAAATATGTTTCGGGAGATTTTCGAGTTTGATCTCTTAAGTATTATGTAGAAACTTGTTTTGTTTACCAAATTTCCAAGTAAACAACTCCTACTGATGTTTTTACCTAAAAACTAGTTTTTAACGCACATGGAAAGTGTTTTAGTGTTATAAAACCATCCAACACTTCTTAACACAAAAATAACTTATTTCAAACATCACTTTCTCAGAATCAAACCCCACTCATATTAAGCCCTAATTCTATTAATCAACACACCAATTACCCAATGATTCACCAAATAATCATATCTCCAAACCCCACTCATATTATCCTTATTGAAAATTATTCTCCCTCCTTACTTGGATATCCTAGCAACAACAAAATTCTAGTTTCGTTAATGCTCTTCTCTCAAGTCTTCTTCTCCCATTTGTGCTCCTAACCTCTTTGTCTCTATTCTGTCCAAGTTTCTATGCATTGTCAAACTCCTAACTTAGGTTATGTTGCTAATTCATACTATTAGGGTTAATCTAATTGAAAATACTAACTCATCTCTCACACTTTGGTCTCAAACCTTCTATTTGCTCTAATTTCTTATTTTATTAATAATAATAATAATAATAATAATAATAATAATAATAATAATAATAATAATAATAATAATAATAATAATTTAAATTTCACTTATTCTAATTATTTTCTAATTTACTCTACCTTCCCACTACACCCTACTATTATACCACACCCTAACAATATATAATCATATAATTTTATTTAAATGCAGACCAACTCTAAATAATTAAATAAAATAAATCCAAATAATTTAATCAAATTTAGGGTGTTATAATTCATGCTCAAGTTCTCGACGCGCAATAGGTGTGTACATCTTAAAGTTAGTAAAGAATCCAAATCCTATACACTGTATGAACCTATTGAAGGAAGATTCATTGCCAACAAGGTTATTGTTTTTTATGAATAAAACTAATGGGACTGGAACAATGAGAATCATACAAGTCTAGAATCTCATGTGCATGTAGATGATGAAATAGAACCTAAACCACGAGAAATTTTAGGTGTGGCAAAAAATGTGGCTAAAAACCAAGACCTGGTTGATGGCTATGCAAGTGAAGGAAATCATGAAGAAGCAGAAAACACAAGTCAAGGACACAATAATGAGTCGAGTGAGCCAACTCAGAGAAGTAGAAGACCTCTAAGGTACCTTAATGCTTATGTGATTGGCTTGAAAAATGAAGAAAAAGATAAACTAAATATTATTGTAATGTTCACTTCAAATGAAGATCCTACCACCTATGAAGAATCTTACAAATATGAGTTTTAAGAAAAAGGTATGAATCTTGAAATAGAATCCATAGGGAATAATGACACTTGGGAGCTGATCACACTCTCTAAATTCCTAAAACCCATTGGAGTAAAGTGAATTTACAAAAAAAAAAAGTGCAATGTAAAAGGAGAAATGGAGAAGCATAAAGCTAGATTAATGGCTAAAGGATAATTCCAAAACCATAGATTTATTCATAATGAAGTACTCGCACCTGTAGCTAAATGGGATAACATTAGGATCATTCAAGTAGTTGCTACAGACCAAAGATGATGTGTTTTTCAACTTATATAAAGAGTTCATTTTTACATGAGGAGTTGAATATGTCTACATAAGCCAACCTGTTAGCTATCACAAAGGAAGACTTGAGAAGGTTTAAAATTTGAGAAAAGCTTTATGTGTCCTAAGACACGCTCCAAAAGCTTGGTATAGTAAAATAGATTCATATTTTTGTGTTGCCAAGTTTCAAATATGTTCATATAAATATACTCTTTTTTGTTATAGATGAAAATGAATGGAAGATTCTCATTGTTAGTTTATATGTGGATGACCTCGTTTAAATTAGCAATGATCATCAAATGATGAATGAATTCAAGCATTCAATGAAACGAGAGTTTTATATGACAGACTTCAGAAAGATGGAGTATTTCTTGGAGATTAAGGTGAAACAAGGCAGAGACGGAATCTGGTAGAACAAGATTTGTTCATGACATATATCCTTTGGATTTTGATGATAACAAAGTATTAAAGAATAATGGTGTTATCTAATGTGTGTTCTAAGTGTGCAGGTTCTAAAGGTTAAAGAAGAATATATTCAGAATCTGATATAAGGACGCACTTTGGAGAAGTTAAGTTATTGGCTTCTGGTGGCTCAAAATTTGAAGAACGTTTTTTAAGTGAAGACTGATAATATAGGTTTGTGTAGACTCTGAAACTGAAAGCCTCGACATCAGAAGAGAAATATATTGCCTCTAAGTTTATTGAATGTATCAGCTTCTTGTGATCATTCAGAACCAACGATAAAGCTAAAGTTATCCGTACTGCAGAAAGCAAGCTTCATTGTCAAATCTGCTGTGAGCTAGAGTTTGTGATTCTAAGGCTCAAGAAGAGTTGACATGCTTTATGGATATCTACTCTCAAGGGATTTATAGTAAAAGATATAAAAAAAATGCAATGGTAAGTTACACAATGGATTAAGATCTTTTTGGGTATCTATCTTCAATGTCTCTTATATTATGAAGTAACAAAGACACGTGTACAAGTTATCTCTTCCAATGGCTATTCCTCTAAAAATTCTATATAAGTAGCTGAAGATTCAACATGTATTTTCAAAAAGTAACAAGGAACAAGGAGAAAAAATAAGAAGAGCCAAGAAGGATAGAAGCGTTCCTCGCTTCTATCAGAATGGAAGAATAACAAGATCAACAATAGCAACACAATCGAGTATGTAAAATTTATGTTATATGTTGTAAATTATACAAAGCCTTAAGATTTCTTAAACATTAAATACCTTAGAAAGCTTAAGTGTTATGATCTTTGTTATAGTTATTGTCATGTATCTCTGATTATGTATCAAGTACACCTTATTTTCTTTTTTGCTAAACAAGTTGTTTAGTAGGTAAATAAAGTCGTTTGTTATGTGCTTGAGCATCAAAGTCTCTTGCTGTGAAGCTTGAGCCAAGTAAGTCTCCTGCTATGTGCTAGAGCATTGAAGTCTTAACCAATTGTTGATTGAGTAAGAAATTCTTGGGCTGCAAGTCTGAGCAGAAGTCTTGGATTCATGGAATTTAAGCAGGGAAGTCTTGTACCTGAAGGGTATGAGCAGAAGTCTTGAATTCGTGGAATTTAAGCAAAAGTCTTGGATTCGTCGAATCAAAGTAGAGAAGTCTTAGACCGAGGGTCTGAGTAGAAGTCTTGAGCTTGAGGGGTTTGAGCAAGAAAGTCTTAAATCTGAGGGATTTAAGGAAGAAGTCTTGGAATGAGGGTCTAAGCAGGAAGTCTCGGGATGAGGGTCTGAGAAGTAAAGTTTTGTGCTTAGGGCATAAGTAATTGTAATCATGATTTGATTATAGTAAAAAATCTCTTGTGCTGCAAAGGAACTGGACTACTCTCAGTTAGGGAGAAATCAATATAAATCTCTGTGTGTTATGTTATTATTTATTTGCTTATGTTATTATTCTACTGCAATTAATTATTAGAATATGAATTCTGTTCAAAAACAAAGTAAAAAAAATGAATAACACAATTCAACTCCCCCTTCTTATGTATTTCATCTTCGGAATCCTTATTCATCAACAAAAATATGCAACTAAGATTTTGAAAAAGTTTGGCATGAAAGGATCTAACAAAGCATGCAACTTTTTTGTTCCAAGGTGCAAATTAGTGAAAGATGCATATGACACGACTTTTGATGAAAACATCTTCAAACAATTCGTGGGAAGTTTGATGTATCGGCTGGCTAGCTGCCAAACTTGACATGGAAGTTTTAGTTTGTTGTATAAATTTGTAAGGTTTGACAGTAGTTTTTGAAGTAGTCTCCACATTACTTGCTCTACAAGTAATGACCATAACTATCTTGTATATAAAGAAATAATGTCATTGAATATAGGTAGAGAATACCATTGTATTCAACACTTAACTAGTTGATTTTATTACATTTTACAATAATGTTATTTGATATGAAAAGATTGTTTCAAATGTAGGTAATAAAAAGATGAATTCATACAAATAACTTGAACTTGTTTAACTAGAAGTACTAAGATTTGATGGAATTTCATTTGTGGATTCCAATTCCATCTTAGTTTCATGTTCAACAAGGTGTTTGATATCCATAGGATATGTAAAGCCTGAATCATGTGAATCATAAGACCTTATTGCAGTGAGTAGGTTCCTAGCCTCAGTTGGATGGAATTCATCCCAAAACACATACTCACTCCTGTTATAGCATGGTCTTTCTTCAGGAATACACTCTCCGCTAATCTTTGATGGACAACAAGGAGCATTTGAGACAGCAAAACCTGAAATCCATGAAACATGATGCATGACTATAGAATCTAAACTATTTTGTTGTAAACTAAAGTTATTACCATTCCGGCCATCTGATTCTAATGTACTGTTTATGAAGATAAATTTGGAATCAGCCAAGAACTTCAAGAAATGGTTAACTAGAGATTTAAGCTTTGCATTGAAAATAAATGCATGGACATTCTCCTCCTCCACACAAGACCCATTAGTTCCATGATTGAAGATGGCATGTGGAGTGCAGCCTAAAAGACCCATCCCTACTAACACAAATTTTCTAGCTCCAATGCCATGTAGAGCCTGTAATCAAATGGAGTTATTATAAACTGTTGTTATAAATTCTGTAACTTCAATTAATAATATTTTGAATAGACATATACCAGTAAATTCAAAGATAACTCTTGAATTAGAGCTTCTGCATACTGTTGAGGACTATAAATGTGGCTTGTTGGATAGAGTTGTGGAAGGAAGTAATTGTTTATGTAATCATTACTTCCAATATTCACATAATACAAGCACTTGTTGAGGTATTGTTGAGCTTTGTCAAGACTTCCAAGTCTGCTAGAGATTTGAGAAACTATAACTCTGTGATTTGTTAACTGTAATCCCAAGCTGACAACAAAGCCCTATACACAGATAGACACAATGTAACATAAATCATCCAAGATAAAGTTGAATAATCAATGCAATTATAAGGTTCTTAGATAGATTATTATACCCTAGCCTTGCTTGTTTCGTTACGAATTCCAGCTCCCCCGGATGCATAGTTCACACCTTTGAGTATGTCTGAACCATTTGTGTTTGCAAACGGCGGAATGAATTTCTCAAATCCCAAAAGTTGAGCTGGAATCATAAAAAAAAACTTATGTTTCAATAAATACAATTCATTCATAAGAAAAAAAAAAGAGAGATAAGGATTCATAAGGTTGGAAGAATGTTACTTATTATGTCGATTGAAGTTCGACCATTGGTGAATCTTCCAGTAGGACCGATCGGAAAGTCGATTCCATAAGGTTTATAATTAGATTTCTGAGAGGTAGGAAGATTATTGTTGTTACCACTATCAGATAAAGAGTCTCCAAAGATAAAAACACAAGGCACCTGGGATTTGCCATTGACACAATAATGCAAATAGGTTGAAGACAAGAAAATAATATGCATCACCAACCATGTCTTGATCATAGATTCCATCTCAAAGAAGAAAATCTAATGAGACTAGTGAATCTAAAAAATAATTAAAAAACCAACATAAACATATAAATATTGATGGGGCCAGATAGTTAATAAAACTTGATTTTTTTTTGTAAATTACATTATATTCAATATATTCAATGTTAATAATAATGAAGTGGTTTATGATTAAGTGGTGATTGACGCTGAATTTAATAAGTAGGATCAGCACTCGATTCTATCTAACTATGATCAAGAGAGGTTGAAATCATTTGATACAAAAACTGATCTTCAAATCAGATTAAGCGGTACAGGAAACTAGATAATTGACGATAAAAACAAAAAAAAATAATAATGAAGTTGTTGTGGTCAATTTAATTGGTCAAATCCAGAATCAATTTATATTCCCAATGGTACACTATAAGACGATGGATCGAGTTTCAACTTTGAAAAAGGTATATATTTTTCTTCTTTACGCCACCTTCTCTCGTCATTCACACCAGTTTTGTTTTCCTTTTCTACTCCTTCCCTTTTTTTTTCGTATATATATATATATATATATATATATATATATATATATATATATATATATATATATATATATATATATATATATATATATATATATATATATATATATATATATATATATATATATATATATATATATATATATATATATATATATATATATATATATATATATATATATATATATATATATATATATATATATATATATATATATATATATATATATATATATATATATATTAAAAATTTTAACGATGACTTTGCATCCAGTCAAATCATATTAAAAATTTTAAATTTATTATATAATATAGTAGAACGATATATTTTTAATATAAAATATTTTTACACTTTTAGTATATAACAATTAATATATATATATATATATATATATATATATATATATATATATATATATATATATATATATATATATATATATATATATATATATATATATATATATATATATATATATATATATATATATATATATATATATATTAAAGAAAAATAATCACTGTTAGGAAAAATAAATTATAAAAGATTTTACAATATTTCCTTTATTAATTAATTAAAAAAATAAATTTAAATAATTTAAAAAAGTGATGATAATAAATATTTAAAGGTACTTTAAAAAGTTACATTAACAATTTTATTGTAACTTATATAATGATCCTAATTTTTTCCTCAAAACTACTTAAAAAAAGATAGTATTAAATTCTATTTATTTTGTACTAACAAATTAAAAATACTATAATATAAGTTCTATTTATTTATTTAAGTTGTAACAAATTTGATTGAGTAGAGACAAAAAAGAATTTTTTTATTTAAGTCAACTAATTTAAAGAGATTAATTTCACTTTTATTAAAAGGATTCAGTTTAAATAGAGAGCAAAGCTCTGTATAAACTACCTCACACAAAGATTAATTAGATTCAAGAGAATTCAATCTAGAATTTTAAGAGGAGTATACTCTTAAAATCAAAATCTCCAACACTGAACAACCTTTGAATCTACAAATAAATCTTTTAATCAAAACAAAGCAACTTAAATCTTTTAATATGATTCCAATAATTCAAACATTTTCAAAACAAATGAGCATTATCTTTCTAAATAAATATGAAATCATATTTTCTAAAACAAATTTTCAATCAAACATAAGTAAACTAAATATTTTCAGAAAGTGCATCATTGAATAACTTGTAAGACTAACAGATTTCAAAACATGTTTTTTAACATTATATTTATAAAAATAAGTCAATTTGTATATTATAATTATGGAAACATGTGCTCGCCTTTTGTTAATCTAAACCTTCTTCCCAAAACCATAGATAACCATGGACGAACTCTTTTCTCCATAAAGGTGTATCAATCGAGCCCTAACCTAAACACAAAGTCGGACTCAAACCTTCCAATCTCAAACACAGGATGTCCCAAACCTTAGCCAAACTCTCACAAGTCTTTTGTCGAAGTAGTTAAAAATGTTTGCATATCGCTTTGAGTCGGCTTCCAATCCTTTGTGTCAAAATAGATAAATTGTCTATTACTCACTACTACAAATGATACATTTTATGAAAATGATTTTACCTCACGTAACAAAAAAAAACTGAGGTATAATACTTGTACGCACCATGTTTTTTTTTATATAAAAAAAACAATCACTTATGTAGGTTTTAATGTAAAACCGAGGGGTACAATAATTTAGGATACATGCTTCGAATCTCAACCATTGCTATTTTATTTTATTTCTTTAAAAGTAGTATTTTTCTTTATATTTTAGTTTTTATTTAATTATTAAATAATCTATTCCATCAGTTTCTCACATAATCAAGGGGTTGCTACCAAAATTTAACTATAAAAAGGATTCATTCAGTAAGTTTTACCCTAAACCTAACTCATATATTCAACCAGTCCATATTCGTAAACATCATTCTTTGAGATGAATTATAAGACAAAAAAAATCTTTGGTTATGTGTTCTTCTAATACCAACCTTTAACAAATTATTTTTCTATATTTGCATTCTAATTCACATAATGATTTTGTTGTTGTTGTTATTGATGGTGGTGGTGGTGGTGGTGTTTCCACCTCTTGTCAATGTTGAATGGTAAAAGAAAACATTATTATATTTTATAGTAACTCCCCAATGTTGTCCATCAAAGAAAATATTTTGTAATATATTATTTTCGTCAATTGACAATATTGAGAAATTTATTCCTAATCATACTACAATTTTTTTTAAATATAATACGTTGTTTGATTATTACAAGAAACAATGAAATTGGTGAGTGGTAAACAATACCCGTTTCCTTCAAAAAAAATTCCATTAATCAATTTTTTGCAATAGATATAACCTACTATGTCGGTTGATTTATAAACCAAGAAGAAAATTTCAATTTTAGTTTATATTTTGTTTAAAATGAAATAATATTTTTCCTCAGTTTTAGGCCAAAATCAAGAGAAAAAATAATTCAATTTTGTTAGAATATATCTCTTTCGTCCATTTATAAAGTAATAACACTGAAGATATTGCTAACACATCAATCAACAACAAACTATTTATATCCAACAAACCATTTATAATTATACTAATATCCGAAACGTAAAGTAGCGCCTTTAAAAAATGAATAAGCAATTGTTTGGGGATCAAATCCACTACAAATTCAAGCTTTTTTTCTTGATGGATTTTCAAAAGAGAGATAAAGTGGGCATATATTTATGAAATCCTTCATTACATTGCTTTTGAAAGCAATGTAACCCCTCATATCCAATTGAGGTTAAATGTATTTTTCATAGTACTGAAAATTCTCGAAGCTGAATAGTAAGTAGGATTTGACGCACTACTACAAAAAGTATTTGTTACCACGGTTGGGACAAGGATTATGTAATGGATGGTGGCACTAGGTAATGAAGGACACGATAGTAAGTGTACTACTTTCTACCACATGCTAAGGTATACGGTGAAAAACTGAATAATGCACTACATTTTGCCATGGTTGAAAATTTCAATTGTGGTGAAATCTAGTCATCCAACTTTTCACAATGGTTGGAGCTTCTAGCCGTGGTAAAATAGTAGTCAATCCGTTTTCACTACAGATGGAAGTTACAACCATTGTAAAAAGTCATTCAACTCAATTTTTCATTTTTATAACAACTTTTGGCTGACCACATTGATACCTTCCATCTAAATATAAAATATATGAAATATTTATAATACAACAACAACAACAAAAAATAACAACAACAACAAGAAGAACAATAACACCAACAACAACACCAACAACAACTACAACATCTCTCTCCCACCCCACCGCCACCACCAACAACACTAATAACAAAACAAAATCAATAGAATAGTTAAACATTACATCTCAAGAACAACAACTACAACAAAAACAGACAAAATTAATAGAATCTTTAAATACTATATCTCAACAACAACAAGAATAAAAACAAAATCAACAATATCGTTAAACATTAAATCTCAACAACAACATTAAATATTTTATCTGACACAACAATAACAACAACATTAAACATTTTATCTAACACAACAACTATAACAACAACTAACATTGCTAACTTGAATCCATGTTTTACTTGCCTTGTTCAAGTTGGAGAAGAGATGATGGATTTACTATACTTATAAATGAAAGAAATGATGTTTTTAAGTTTAGTTTAGTGTAGAAATAGAGTTTCGTAAATAGAAGATGAAGTTTGGAGGTAGAAGATTAAGTTTGTCTAAGTTCGTCTAGGGAAAAAATGAATGAACATGTAGAGTTATATATCTTAAAAATGTAATCTATTTTTAATTAAAAAAAATAGGAAGACGCCGCTTTTAACCATTGTTGGAATTGTAAACCTGGGTAAAAATGTGTGTGTTAAGATTCGAACCAAAGACTAGACGCCACTTAAAATGAATTTGAAAGAAAAGTTCCTGAAGAATATATTTTACCATGGTGGACATTATGTTTGAGGTGAAAGTGCATTATAAAATGTATATTTTGTAGTATTGATGCTTGCATATACAATTTCCATGGAAGAATTATTTGGCCCAAATGATCAAACCCTCTCATGGTGGTGAATCTTTATTGAAATAGAATATGTGAAATTTCCTTAGTTGAAATAGAATCTTTATTCAAAAATATCAAAAGTCATCTCAAAAAATGGAGTAAAGACATTTTTGGGGATGTCCACAATTTGGTCTACACCTCAACTATCAACCTTATAATAATTCAAAAGTAATTCTAGTTGGTAGGTATGACTGAGCAACTAAAGGACCAAAAGGTCCAGGTTCAACATGACTTAGAGCAAGCCTTAGCTAAAGAGGAGTTGTTCTGGATGGACATGGTAAGAACCAACCATCACAAGCATGGTGATAGAGATCCCTACTTCCACTGAGTTTCTAATTTAAAAAGTTCAAGAATCAAAATCATTTACGATAACTAATCCCACTAATATGGCCACCCATGCAATCTTTTATTACACTA